AGGTAGATGGAACTGCGAGGAGGACACGCGTGCTGGACAGAGGTGGGAGGAGGGCCCCGCCCCCCGTCCCTCATTGGACCACGAACTCAAGGCCACGCCCCTCGACTGGAGCTCCGCCCCTAGACCTCAACCTTGGTTCGAGGTGTGCTCGCTGGGGCGAGGTGTCTAGAAGGTAGCTGCGTTCGCACGGCAGGTGTCCTCGTTCTGCCATTTCACTTAGAGCAACCTCGATGTCACACAGCAGAGCTAGATGCCCGCCACGTCTCTCGACTTTAAAAAGCACCAAAGAGGCCGGGTGCGGTGGCGCACGTCTGTAACCTCAGCGACTCAGGAGGCTGAGGCAGGATAACAAGTTCAAGGCCAGCCTCGGCAATTTAGAGAGACTTTGACCTAAAATTTAAAAAATAAAAAATAAATGGGTTGGGGATGTAGCTCAGTACGTGAGGTCCTGGGTTCGACCTCCTGTACCCAGAACCCCATTATCAAAATCAAAACATCACATATAGTGATGAAGAGCAAAGATTCTGAGCCAAACACTCGGTCTGAACACCAGCCTTGCCATTCCCTTGGGTTACATTGGACAAGTTACTTAGCTTCTCTGGGCCCTTCCCCCATCTGCTAAGGGGCATAATGGTTAATAGTACTTACATCAGGGTGTTGCTGAGAAGGTTAAATGAGATAATTTATTTGCTGCACTTAAAACATAGCTAGTACGTAGTTAATGTTATTTGAAAGTTGCAGTTAACTATGTCATTATTAAAAACTGTGCTCCTGTTGCATTTCAGCTCCTAAGATCTGCAACAAGATCTTTTTAATATATCTCACTTAGTTCTCACAATAATTCTGCTATTATTCACATTGTTTGGAGGAGAAAATAAAAAATATGTGATTTCTACCATGTATAGTTTAAGGACTGTACACTCAGATGAGTCATACAGTCCCCAACAACAGTCCCAGGAGGTCAGTACTCTCACAGTGCCCATTTACAGGTGAGAAAAACTAAACACAGGCAGTCACAGTGACTTGCCTTGCCTAAGGTCACACAGAGGCAGAACTCAGGATTTGAACCAAGAGCTAGGGTTTTTAACCACTTAAGAACCTTACTGCCTTGATATTTGCATTAAATCTCCTAATTATAACCGAAACATACTCACCTATGGCTAAACCAGGACCTCCAGAGTTCTAAGAGTTCCTCCCCACAACCCTCTGTCACCACAGCCGAGTCACCCCTTTATAAAATTGAGCACTCTGTGCTTTGTAAGTTGGGAATACAGAGCCCTAGGATCAGTTCCTTCCAGCTCCTGGCCGGCCCTCCCCCCACCTCCCCTGTGCTCTAGGGAGCTCAAGCAGGAGGACCTTGGCAGTTTCCTAAAACAGATAGCTGTGGGGCCTGGGGACCCAGGGTAGGGACCACACACACTGGGACCTCCCTGCTAGGCAGGCAACTTTGTAACTCAGGCCTCAGTTTACTCATCTGACAACTGGGTTAATTTGGAAGAGTCCCTACTTCCTGGAGTCACGAGGAAGATTCCTCATACATGCTAACTGATCTATCAAAATTATTATCAACATGTGGTATATACTAAGTTACATAAAACAATATCCTAAAGTTCAACAAAATTATACATAAAGTGTTATTCAATGCATAATAGATTGCTAGATGTTGCAAAGTTAAAACTGATGTTCATACAATTGTATTAAACAGCACATAAGTTTTACCATATTATTGAATTATGTAATTCAATTATACATTATATAATTGCATATCTAGGCTGATATGATTATATAGTACAAAATAATTTTGATATAATACAAAATTATATGTTAAATACTGTTTTCCTTAAAATTTCATATTAAATGTAAAATTACTCTGTGTCATTGCCAACTACATCAGAAGACATTAATAGTGATTCTTGTTTCTGGCGGTTATCACTTGGTACCTTAGGACGCCCCCATGTTGTCCTGTGGACACCTGGCTGATGGATGCGGTAGCTTTGAGGACTTCCTGGGATCAACCTCTTCCGTTTATCCACCCATTGTTCTGGGAATGGACACCCAGGATGCCCCCAGCTCCAGGAAAATAGCACTGTCATGTCCCCTTATGGAGCTGAGGGAGAATTTTGATATGTGCCCATAAGAGGTGACATATCCAACCCAGGACTTGCCTGAGCAGTGCTGGGTGGCCCTGGGGAATGGCTGTCCACTGTCAGCACGTGAGGATCTGGGTCCTCACCTCCCCAGCCTCTGCTTGGCATTTTCCAAGTTTCAATTTTGGCCAGACCTATGGGATGACTCCGTGTTGTCCTTTTTATTGTTAATAATAACTTTATTTGTTTGTTTGTTTGTTTGTTTATGTATTGCTGAGGATCGAACCCAGGGCCTCGCCCATGCCAGGCAAGTGCGCTAACCGCTGAGCCCCAGCTCTTCTCACTGATTTTTATCATTGTAAATACTCTTCCCCTTCTGTCATCTGATATTTGTCCCATGATGTCCTCGTTAAAGAAAAACTAATTTCCGAGTTATCAAATGGATCACTTCTCTGCCGCAGCGCCGTGTGATTCAGAAGCCTTTTCCCCTCTGGTCATCGCCGTGTTATTGCTGGTGATAACCATCCCCAGGGGCCCGAAGGCCAAGGGTTTATGTACAAGCGCCGGGACCTTTTCCGATCTCCCTCGCGGTGGTTTATCCAGGTCCCCAGGGCCTGGCGACACTCCAGCGCTGCAGGCTGGGCTCGGCCAGGAGCGGGCGCTGCAGGAGATGGGCTCGGGACCAGCCCTGCCTGAGGAGGGGGAGAGAGGAGGAGAAAGAGGCAGGAAGAGAGAGAATCGCGAACCTCGGTATAGCATGTGATGGAAAAACTAAAGCCAAGGGGCCCGCGCCTGTCTAAACGCGCCAGGCATGGAAACAAAAAAATCCCATGGTGACTTACTTTACTGAGAAAAAGAAAGGACCGAAAATGTAGCCGGGAGTTGGACATCGTGGCACACACCTGTAATCCCAGCGCTCAGGAGGCTCAGGCAGGAGGATCACAAGTTCAAAGTCAGCCTCAGAAATTTAGTGAGGCCCCAAGCAACTCAATGAGACCCTGTCTCTAAATAAAAATATTTTAAAAAGGGCTGGGGATGCGGCTCAGTGGTTAAGTGCCCCTAGGTTCAATCCCCAGTACCAAAAAAAAAAAAAAAGAAGAAGAAGAAAAAGAAGAGAAAATAAAGCTCTTTGGTTGAATTGACTAACATACTAGGTTTGGCAGAATCATACTATGACCCATTTATTCCTTCCCTGAACACAACCCTACAAAATTTTACACTTTATGTTTATCAAAGCCAAGTGCTCAAATATTCACAGGAGGGCTAGGGATGTAGCTCAGTGGTAGAGTACCCCAATTAGTATGTGTAAAGCCCTGGGTTGATCTCCAGCACCAAAGAACTAAACAAAATAGTCACAGAGTCTTTATGCATAAGAGCCCTAAGGAAGCCAGGCACCAGAGGCATATGCCTGTAATCCCAGTGACTCTGGAGGCTGAGGCAGGAGGATTTCAAGTTTGAGGTCAGCCTCAGCAATTTAGCAAAGCCCTGTCTCAGAAATAAGTAAACAAATAAAAAGGGCTGGGGATGTAGCTTAGTGGTAAAGCACCCCTGGGTTCAATTTCTAGGACCTAAAACAAACAAACAAACAAATCAGCCCCAAGGGAGCAACTCCACTGTCCATCACAAGAAAACTGACCATTGTCACACAATGAAAGACTACAGACAGCAATGAAAGGAAGAAATTAGAATCAGAGAAAATAACATGGAAGAACTGTAAAGACAGTGTGCTAAATGAAAGAAAGCAGGTACAATACATGAGTGCAGACGTCTGCAGCTCAAAGCAGATAAGACTCTCCTGTTAGACATCAGACTCCTGGTAACTTGTGGCAGATGGTGCTGGGAAAGGCAACTGGGGACTTATGAAGAATGAAAGTGTTCTGTTTCTTGATTTGCGTGGAAGTCACTTGGGTTGGCTGGGTTGGTGACAGTTCATTAACCTAAATAACTTAGCAATATGTGCTCTTTTTGTGTATCTCAATTTAAAAAAAAAAAAGTCAAGCATGACACATTTAGGTAAAAGAATAAAACACGTGTAGTCAAAAGAAAAGTCTGTTTCCATGGACATGCTTTTATGTACGTCAACGCTCAAATAACAACCCAGATAAAACCTAATAGCCCGTAATATTGGTCACTCCTGCCTAAGGGGGACAGAGGGAGGGAGGAAGCTTCCAGATTGCTTACCTCCACCTGTAATTAGATAACAGTCCACGGAGATAATATTTTAAAAGCCCTTACAGCACAGTCTGCTACATAGGAGGTACACACAAGGGCTGGTTACAAGAAGAGTAATAAAGGAAAAATGTTTTCCCAGGGTATCCTTAAAACCAGCCTAGAAACGCCAGGAAGATGGTTCACACCTGGCATCCAAGCCACTCAGTGGTGGAGGCAGGAGGATCACAAGTTCAAGGGCATCCTCAGCAACTCAGTGAGACCCGTCTCAAACTAAAAAATAAAAAGAGGTGAGGATGTAGCTCAGTGGTGGAGCACCCTGGATTCAATCCTCAGTTCACCTCCTCTCCAGGAAAAATAATAATAATAATAATAAACTAGGAATGAAAGAAACTGTAAAATAATTTTGCAAAGTATATGAGTTTCTATTCAAATCCTTGTGCTTCAAGGTCCATGGATATAACTTTATAGAAACACAGACTTTTCTTTTGAGTGTGTGTATGTATTTTTACACAGATTAGTCATGCTTTTTAAAAACTGCTTCTATTGAAGTGTGACAGTGACAGGTCTCAAGACCCAAAGATGGGGAGATAGCTAGAGAGCCGGCTGGGCTGGGGGGTGGGGGCCAGCAGCACCGGAAACCTCAGCCTGCAGGGATCCCCATGTGGGGGAGGGGAGCCTTTGGTCTCTCCCCAGCCTCTTCCTTCCCCCTGGCCTGGGGGTGGGTGGGGAGGGGCAGTTCCTCTTTCCTTCCCAAGCTCGGAGGAGGCCCAGCTCCCGAGGGGCTGAGAGCTGGAGTCCTGGTGAGGGGGGAGGAGCTGTCCCGCGAGGACCACCCCCCAAGGAAGTATGAATAGAAAAGACAGCAAGAGGTAAGGGGACCCTCCCCAGGAGCCAAGCCTGTGCGGGAAGGTTGGGGAGGCGCCGAGAGGGGCCAGGACGTCTGCCTCCTGTAGGATCAGGGGTGCCAGGGACAGATGCTCCAGGGAGCCCAGGGCCAGCCAGGGCCAAGGCTGCGTGCGCAGAGGCGCCTGCGGCTGACGCGCTCTCTCTCTCTGGACTTTGCTTCTCCCCTCACCGCCCTCCCCGTTGCTCTCTGGGCTACGGTCCTCCCTGGGGTCTTCCTGGCTCCCCATCCAGTCGCTGCCCCCGACTGGAAACTCCAGCCTCCTCCTGCAGGGCCCTGCCCCAGGAGAGGGGTGTGTGATGCAAGATCAGCCGGTTCCCCTGCCTCTTAAACCACACCTGGCTGCTCCTGACACCTAGGGGGCTGCCAGTCCTCAGGTAGGGACCAAGTGGCTGCCACTGCCCCCGGGCTGTGGGATGGACTTCTAACTCTGGGCAAGCTTGCCCTCCGGTCCGCACAGAGATGGATGGTGATTGGGTCCCCAATCTAGGTGACCCCTCCAACCTCCCCCAGCATGATTCTGATGAGCAACTGGACTTCCCTCCCCATACCATTCAGTAGTTTAGTGGTGGGATCCTAACTGCCTCATTGCTGGCTGTGTGACCCTAGGTAAGTTACTCAGCTTCTCTGGGTCTCAGTTTCTTCTATCAATAGAATAACTATAGATTGTATCTCAGAGGGGCCTCTAAGTCTTCAGTGAGACAGTCCAGACCACTGGTTCTCAAACTTGACCATGTGTCAGAACCAACCAGAGGGCTTATAAAATGCAGGTTGCTGGGGCTGGGGATGTGGCTCAAGCGGTAGCGCACTAGCCTGGCATGCGCGGGGCGCTGGGTTCGATCCTCAACACCACATAAAAGTAAAATAAAGATATGGTGTCCATCTAAAACTAAAAAATAAATATTAAAGAAAAAATGCAAGTTGCTGGACTTACCCCTAGAGGTTTTGATTTGTGTGGGGTGGGGCCTAAGAATTTGTGTTTATATCAAGTTCCCAGGTGATTCTGTTAGAACTGATTGGGGACCATATTTCGAGAATCACTGATCTAGAAGGAGTGACCTGCTGGACATGGTGAACCATGCCTGTAATCCCAAAGGCTCTGGAGGCTGAGGCAGGAGGATCATTAGTTCAAAGTCAGCCTCAGCAACTTAGTGAGGCCCTAAGCAACTCAGTGAGACTCTGTCTCTAAGTAAAATATTTTTTAAAGGGCTGGGGATGTTGCTCAGTGGTTAAGGGCCCCTGGGTTCAATCCCTGGTGCCAAAAAAAAATTGGAGTGATCAGCCCTTGACCCACTAGCTAATCAGTACTCAGTAATGCCCCCTATTATTCATCAACAGTCAGTGACAACTTACTGAGTCCTTAGGATGCACTGTCACCTTTGCCATGAGGGACTCCTGTTTCCAGTTTCACCCCAGCCACAGGCTCCTCCTCGGCCCCATCCCTCTTTCTCTCTGCATCTTAACCTCAGCTTTCCCACATCTGGTCACTGTGACCAGCCTGGGCAAAAACTAAGTTTCATTACTTAGCACCTTTGAGGAGCCAGGCATCAAATGTTTATAATAAACTCCTGGGGACGGTCCAAAGATGACACTCAATTTACATATGAGGAAACTAAGGATCAGAGAAATTAAGTGACTCACCAAACGTCACACAGCCAGCAGAAATTTCTCGAACCCAGTTCTCTCCAACTCTAGAGTCTAAGTTTTGCTCCTTCCTCCTTTCTCCTGCCGCCTCTGTCTCTCCGTTACCCTCTCTCCCCACCTGGACCAGGAGCCTCAGAGGAGCACAAGGCAAAGTTATTTTTAAACTTTCCTTGAAGCTGCCTTAGCTCCAGGGACCCCGCCGAGCTCTGGGGAGCTCTGGAGAGGTCATTTTGTACTGGTACTTCCTCTCTGGGTTCCAAATCTAGGCACCCAGCTGGAGGCTAAGACTCCAGAGCCTGTGAAGGGCCCTTCCTGAGGTAGAGTGGGGAGAAGAGAAGAGATGGAATCCCAGGGGCCTGCCTGAGGGAGGAGGCACTGGAGACCAAAAGGGCATTCTGAAGAGTTGTCCTGAAGCTGACCCTCCCGTTGTCCTCCCAGGGAGGACAGCAGTGATCCTAGGGGGTCTTGTGTCTTGATTTCCTGAGAGGTCAGGACAAATCCCAGGGGTCTGCCAACAGGAAATCTCTTCCATGATGACTTGAGACAGTTTTGTCCAGAGGAATTTGGGGGGAATGCCTGGAGAAGGGAGTTTTTAGGATTCCTTGGAGGGTCCTCAGTAGTCCTGGGGGCTTCTCCCTTGATTCCTTGGGGAATCTGGAATATTCCTGGGGGCTTCTCCCAGGAGTCTATGGTAGGTCAGCGGTCATCCGGGGACTTTACCTGTATTCCTGTAGGAATTTCTCCCATGGTACCTTGGGGCATTGGGGTCAAGAGGAATCTGAGGACCTGCCCAAAGGAGGGGGCTCTCATGCTTCCTGGGGGTGAGGGGATGTGCATCCACAGGAAATCCCACCAGGAATGCTCGGGGAAGGCAGGAGGCCGGGGCCGGCCCCGCCAGGCCCCTCGCCGCCACAAGACCTGCCCGAGTCCCCGGGAGATCAGCAAGGTCATGGCGTCCATGAATCTGGGCATGCTGGGCGAGGGCAGCTACAGTGAAGACGAGCTGCTGGAGAAATGCATCCAGTCCTTCGGTGAGTGTCGCCTCCCCGGCCAGCCTCCCCAGTCCCAGCCCTGCCAAGCACCCGCCTCTCTCAGCCTCAGGGTTTGGGGCTATAAAATGGGTGTGTGGGATGAATCCCAATCGCTCCATGAAGGGTTGGAGAAACACCTGCGTTGCTTTTTCCTGGGACGAGGATGGGAGCAGGACTGGTGCCGTTTCCATCTCTGTGACATTGCTGGCCCATGCCTGGTGTGGACAAAAAACCAAGGCACAGAGAGGTTGAGGTGCTTGCCCAAGATGATGCCGGCATCACTTGAACCTGACGGTCCACCAAGCTCTGGAGACTGTCAGTCCACGCCCAGGGCCCATTCAGACAGAGTCCCCCTTGCCCCCCTCCCAGACTCCAGTGGCAGCCTGCGCCGTGGGGACCACGTTCTCAACATGGTGCTGGCCATGCACAGCTGGGTGCTGCCTTCTGCTGAGCTTGCTGCCCGGCTGCTGGCTTTATATCCTCTGTGACCGTGACCGTGGCAGAGGGCGGAAGGGTAGAAACACAGAAGCCTGGGAGGAGGGGATGGGGGAGCGGGCAGGTCTGGACACTGGATAATGGAACCTTGACCGGAACTCAAGTACCAGGAGGCTGCAAAGGACACCCAGGAGCTGAGGCAGTTGCAGATCTGTCACTTGGTCAGGTAAAGCTGGGTCAGCCCTCTTCTCCCATATCCTGCCCTTCCCCCAATATCTCAGAGACTCCCCAGCGCCACTCCCTAAAACCCCACTCGGAGACACCCTGGCTGGGTTCCTAAGACCCTCCCAGTTCTGCCCCTGAGAACCCCAACCTTTTGGAGACCCCCCTACCAGATTCCATAGACCCTTCTGCCAGCTCTGATGGGCCTCCAGCTGATCCCCCAAACCCTACTTCCTACATACCCCAGCCGAGACCCTAAGACCTCCGCTAGAAACCCCAGGCTAGATCCTGAGACACCCCCACTGTCCTATTTCTGTGCAGTTCCACTTCCAAGAGATCCCCCCATCTACCTCCATAAATCTCCCCAACCCGTGTTGAGACCCCCTTCCTATCCCAGAGATCCCCCTGTCCTGGTGCCCCTCCAAAACCTGCCCTTCCCAAGACCCCCTGCACACATGTAGACCTCCCCACTTGGCATCTGGAGGTCCCTCAGCCCTGCCCCATGCCCCACCCTAACCTGTTCTCAGGTACTGGATGGCCCAACACCCAGAGGCCATGCGCCAGGAGCCCCAGCTAGAAGAGGTCATAGGTCGCTTCTGGGCCACGGTGGCCCAGGAGGGCAACTCAGCCCAGAGGAGCCTGGGAGATGCTTCCCACCTGTGAGCCTTCCCCATGTCCCCTTGCCTGCCCCACCCCCCTCCTGCCATCTCCCGTGGCATCCCCAGACCCTCAACTCTGAGCCACTCCAATACCCTGCCCCTCTTGGCCCCCAGCCTGAGCCCTGGTGGCCCTGGCCCCCCACCTCTCACGAGCAGCCCAGGCCTGGGCAAAAAATGCAAAGTGTCCTTGCTTTTCGATCACCTGGAGTCCGAGGAGTTGGCCCAGCACCTCACGTACCTGGAGTTCCGGTCCTTCCAGGCCATCACGGTGAGGACTCCCCTGGCCTTCAGTGCCCTTCTGGGACAGGGGGAAGATTGGGGTGGTGGGAGGATCCCTGCACGGATACCCAGCTGGGGTTCTTAAACTTCAAAGCTGGGAGCCAGAGGGTCCAGGAAAATGAGCCAGGTGGCTGAGCACAGCACCCGCGGTTCAGATGCCATCACCTCCTTCTTACCTGTGTAACACAGAACTAGTGTCTCAGCCTCTCTGGGAATCCTCCTTTGTAAAACAGAGGTCATAACCTTCCTTAGAGGTGGGAAAATTTAAAATCCCAATTACAAAATGCCTATTGTGGCTGGGTCCATTGGTGCACGCCTATAATCCTAATGACTTGGGAAATTGAGGCAGGAGGATCACAAGTTTGAGGCCAGACTGGGAATTTAGTGAGACCCTGTTTCAAAAAATAAAAATAAAAAAGGGATGGCAATGTAGTTCAGTGGTAGAGTGTTCCTGCAGTACCAAAACCAAAAAACAAGCCTGCCAGGCTTGGTGGTGCACACCTTCAATCCAAGCATCAAGCATCTTGGGAGGCTGGGGCAGGAAGATCACAAGTTCAAAGCCAGCCTCTAAGCAACTTAGCAAGACCCTGTTTCAAAATAAACAATAAAAAAGGCTGGGGAGGTGGCTCAGTGGCTAAGCACCCTGGGTTCAAAGAAGAAAAGCCTAACCAGTACCTGGCACATAGTAAGTGTTCAAAATATTTTCTTAATTATTCATTTAATCAACAAGCATTTCAATTCGTGGTGCCTCAGTTTCCTCATGTGTAAAAGGGAATGTTAGCAGTTCCCATCTTATAGAATATAGCACCTGGTCTAGAGTAAATCATACCTGGTGAACCATTTGAAATTGCCTTATTTTACCTACCCAAATGTCAGTTTTTATTTTATTTTATTTTTTTTTGGTACTGGGATGGAACTCAGGGGTACTTCACCAGTTGCTGAGGGTCTTGCTAAGTTGCCGAGGTTGACCCCAAATTTGCCATCCTCCTGCCTTAGCCTTCCAATTGCTGGGATTACAGGTGTGTGCCACCACACCTGGCTCAAATGTCCATTTTCCTGTGCTTTAGTGTAGATACCTTAACTATTGCCATCTGGACATGATTGTTTCAAGGGAAGGAGAGAATCTGGTTCCCTAATGTGAAATTTTTCTGATTTTTTTTTTTTGTGTGTGTGTGTGTATCAATATAACATGCAGATAGTGCAGTGGATGTGGGTAAGAAACTATTGAGCAGAACAAGTAGAAGTCGGTTTCCAGTCCTTTTCCCCATCCTTCCCTTTGCTGTGTACGAGTCAGTTAAACAGTTAACAGCATATAGACTGGACTGGGCTGTATCTCAGCAACAGAGACTGACCGATTACTGCAAGGCCCTGGGTTCATCCCCAGCAGGGCCAATAATAATAACAATAATAATAATATTTTCAGCATATAGACTGGTTTCCTGTCCTAGCTCATGCCTGTGTCTTTGCCTCAACTGCCTCATCTTTAAAATGGGAATAACAGTACCCACCTTGTAGAGTCATGAAGATTAGATTATTTAATATGATAAAGTGCTCAGAGTAGTACCTGGCTTTATTTAAACATTTCTCTTCAGATTGAGGGGACATGTGGCAGCCTGTGGAGAGGCAAATGACAAAGTTTACAAAGGCTGACCAGGCTAGAACATCGGAAGTTACGGCTGCAAGGGGGATGGATGGCAAGTCAGGGCACTGCCTCCCCCCATAACACCCACCTCGCCCCCAGCCCCAGGACCTGCGGGGCTACGTTTTGCAGGGCTCCGTGAGGGGCTGCCCAGCCCTGGAGGGTTCCGTGGGCCTCAGCAACAGCGTGTCCCGCTGGGTGCAGGTTATGGTGCTGAGCCGCCCTGGACCTGCTCAGCGTGCGCAGGTGCTGGACAAGTTCATTCACGTGGCACAGGTGAGGCCCGCCTTTCCGCTCACTTTCTAGTTGCTTGCCCTGCGGCCAGGTAGTGACCTGACCCCTGGCGACCCAGCCTGCCCAAATTCCCAGGACCTTGGCTCCCGCAGGCCAACCGGGTGGTGACGTCGCGCAACTCCTAGCCACGCCCATCACATCACGTCCCACTCTGGCTCCACCCCCGAGGCCACAGTTAGTTTTTTGTTGTTGTTGTTTTGTTTTATTGATTTTATTTTTTTAAACAGTTTGAGCTTTCTAACCCTTGATTAGGGCTTCTTCGGCCTTGATATCACCGCGTCAAACCCGCCTTGGCCGCTTGGCCTTGGACGTGACAGTTGATTAAGTCCCTCCGGGCGCCATCGTCCAAACCCCGTCCCAGGGCGAAGGCAGCGTTGCCTCAAGTGCCCGCCTTTGCACCCGCCTGCACCCAGGCTCCTAGCTCCAGTCCCCAAGCCCCAGCGCTCAGTCTCTTTGGGACGGTGATTGCAACCTTCCCTCCCGCCCCGGCTCGCGCTGCGCCCCTCTGCTTCCCCTCCCTTCTGGGAAAAGGGAAGCCCTCCGCCGTGGCCACGCCCCCTTGCGTACTTCCACGTAGGCCACGCCCTTCCTCTGGCAGCTTCCACCGCCCGCTTCCTCTTGCTGGGCCCTTTAGTCCTGGGGTTTCCTTGGTCTGAGCATCTTCCGTTCCTCCGCGGCCCCTCTCTCCAGGCGACCTCTGCCCTTGAACTTGGGAAAGGGGAAGGGGGGAATCTCGACCCCGCACCTACCTGGAATCTTTCTCACCTTCCCTTCCCACCCTGGTCCTGTTCCTTCATCTCAGCCTAGTCCCCAGCGTCTGCCCAGAGCCCTCACCCGGGGGACTCTCAGAGCTGGCGGAGTCCTCCCGCGCCTGTCTGAAGCACACCTGTCTGTCCAGCTCCCAGCACTTGCCTGGGGCTCGAACTCAGGGCCTCGAGCTTGCCCACCGGCTCTCCACCACAGCCACATCCCCGGGCTCTCCCCACACTTTCTAACCTCACATTCTCCACCCCCTGCCTGACAGCCACCTTCCTCACCGTCCCTTGCACACACTGGTCCACCCAACCCACCTGCTGTCATTTGAACTTGACCTTGCCTGTCCTTCTATGATACCTACCATCTCTGGCATCACCTCCCTTCCTAGAGACTCCGCCAGCTACAAAATTTCAACACACTGATGGCGGTCACAGGGGGCCTGTGTCATAGTGCCATCTCCAGACTCAAGGACTCCCAGGCCCACCTGAGCCCTGACAGCACCAAGGTGAGCTCCCAGATTCCACCTGAGGAACTGGCTGCCCCAAAGCCTGAGCCCCCAGGCCATCTGCATTCTTCCTCCGTGACCAGCATAGATAGCAGTGACCCTCTCTGTCCTCCACGGATCTAGTCCTAAGATGGCTTGTGAGGGAGGCCGGTGGGAGAGATGCTAACGGAGAACCAGCAGCCCAGGTGGCAAGCTGTCCCACATCCAAGATAACCAACATTTGTGCCACCAAAGGAGGAACATGGCGGGGAGTGTTTGGGAAGTGTCCAGGAAGAGTCAGTCATTCATGCATCCGGTGTGTGGCTAAGGGCAGGAAAATAGGCTGGATATGCCCAGGGAAGATTCTGTTGAACCCTGAAAGCTCAAGTTTAGGTGTTTGAGCTTCATCCAAAGGGCACTGGGGAGCTACGGCAGATTTGAGAGTGATGCCAGCACCCGTGATCAGATTCAATTTTGTGAGACCTCATTCTAACTTGGGGAATGGGGTGATAGTAGAGCCTCTCTGAGTTGGAGACCCAAGAGGAAAAGCAGTTTGGGGAAATACTGAGGCCAGTGTGGGATACAGAAGGGGTTCAGGAGGTTTCGAAAGGGTCCCTGGGGGTCTGGAGCCTAGAGGGGCTCAGGGAACATAATGGCTCTTCCCGATGACGTGTTCCTCCCACCCAGGCCCTGCTGGAGCTGACAGAGCTTCTCGGCTCCCACAACAACTACGCCCGCTACCGCCGCACCTGGGCTGGCTGCAGCGGCTTCCGGCTGCCTGTTCTGGGTGTGCACCTCAAGGACCTGGTGTCCCTGCACGAGGCACATCCTGACCGGTTACCAGACGGCCGCCTGCATCTGCCCAAGTTGAACAGCCTCTACCTGCGGCTGCAGGAGTTGGCAGCCCTCCAGGGACAGCATCCCCCCTGCAGCGCCAACGAGGACCTGCTGCATCTGCTCACCGTGAGCTTCCCTGCTCTGCCCAGTGTGGGCCCCCAGAGGCTGGGCCTGGGGGTACTGAGACTGAGGGTCCTGGACCTGTAAAGCTCTGCAGGACCAGACGGTGCTGTGTGACATTGGGCAGGTTATTTAACCCCTCAGCCTCAGTTTCCTTATCTAGAGAGTGGGAATAATAGGACCCACTTCAGAGGATACTTGAGAATTGACTAATAAATGATTAATATAAAGTACTTAAAACAGAATCTGGAGCCGGCTGCAGTGGCACATGCCTGTCATCCCAGCAGCCCCAAACACTGAGGCAGGAGGAGCACAGGTTCAAAACCCAACCTCAGCAAAAAGCGAGGCACTAAGCCACTCAGTGAGACCCTGTCTCTAAATAAAAAAATACAAAATAGGGCTGGGGATGTGGCTCAGTGGTTGAGTGCCCCTGAGTTCAATCCACAGTGCCCCCCCCAAAAAAAAAAAAAAACAGACTCAGGAATACAGGAGTACAGTGAGCTCTATGTATGTGAGGTCATTTTTTCCCTGGATTCCTCTGACTCAGGTGTCCACTGACCTGAGCTCCAAGACTGCTCTGGGCTTTTGTACTCCTGAACCAAGGTTCTGGACACTAGTTCACAATTTGACATAATCAGAATCTAGGCAAAAAGTTAACCGTTGTTGATCACTTCCTCTGTGCCAGTTGTCACTTCAGGATACCTCACAACCCGATGAGGTGGAAACCCTTATTGCACCCATTCTGTGGACTGGGAAACTGATGCCCAGAGACACCTCACATACTTTGGATTCAATCCCCAGTATGACCCCACCACACCCACCCCCCAAAAAGAGACAGAAGGTGACAGCAGGACATTAAACCATGAAACAAAGCAGGGACTCTTGGAAGCAAGGGTCCTGCACAGGTCACTGGCTTGTGAAGCCTGCTCTGCCCTAAGATGACTGGTGCCTGAGACCCTTTTCTTTCTTTATTCTTTTTTTTTTTTTTTGGTGGAGGGTGGTTGAACTCAGGGGCACTGGACCACTGAGCCACATCCCCAGCCCTATTTTATATTTTATTTAGAGACAGGGGCTCACTGAGTTGCTTAGTGCCTTGCTTTAGCTGAGGCTGGCTTTGAACTCTGATCCTCCTGCCTCAGCCTCCCCAGCCGCTGGGATCACAGGCGTGCGCCCAGCCTGAGACCCCTTTCTTTGCTGGTTGTGAAAGGCCATCCCTCAGCCCCAGTGTTTACTGAGCACCTGCTGGGAGCCAGGCCCAGCTTCGAGCACCCGGAACATGGCGGAGGGCAAGTGAGCAAACAGTGGCCTTCTGGGGGGCAGACATTCTGGGGGCCAAAGCCACTCCAGCCAAGTCAGGAAGGCTCTCCGCCTCTAGATGACAAGTGCCACGGAGAAGAGAGAAGGCAAAAAGGGCGCGGAGGGAGATGGGACTGGGTCTTTAATAAGGACATCAGGAGAGTGGGAGGTGCTGGGCAGGTCTGGGGTCTCCCCAAGAGGCAGGCATGTGGGCTGAGGTTGGGGGACAGTGACAGGAGGCTGTGTCCCACCCCACCCACCCCAGCTCTCCCTGGATCTCTTCTACACGGAGGACGAGATCTACGAGCTGTCCTACGCCCGGGAGCCCCGCTGTCCCAAGAGTCTGGTGAGACCTAACCCCTGACCTCTGACCCCTGCCCGAGCCTGTTAAGTGTCTAACTGTGTGCCTCTGTCCCCCTCCAGCCGCCCTCTCCCTTCAAAGCACCTGTGGTGGTCGAGTGGACCACCGGTGTGACACCCAAGCCAGACAGGGTCACCCTGGGTCGACACGTGGAACAGCTGGTGGAGGTGAGGAGGGACTGGGCCCCCACAGGTGGGTGCCAGGAGGGGACTCCCGTATAGTCCTGTGTGTGCAGGAGGGATCCAGGACCCTGGGGCTGGGCCTCATCCCCTGACTCACCCTGTCCCTCCCTTGCTCCTCCAAAGTCCGTGTTCAAGAATTATGACCCTGAAGGCCGCGGCACCATCTCTCAGGAGGACTTTGAACGGCTGTCGGGCAACTTCCCCTTCGCTTGCCACGGGCTGCACCCGCCCCCCCGCCAGGGGTAAGTGCCCTGACTCCTGGGGCCCCCAAAGCAGAGGACTCTGGGGTTGCTAGGACTGGGGGCCTAGGGAGGAAGGGACACTCGTGCTGAGGTGTCGTCTCTACCCCAGGCGTGGCTCCTTCAGCAGAGAGGAGCTGACGGGGTACCTGCTGCATGCCAGCGCCATCTGCTCCAAGCTGGGCCTGGCCTTCCTGCACACCTTCCACGAGGTCACCCTGCGCAAGCCCACCTTCTGTGACAACTGCAACGGCTTTGTAAGCACTCTGTCCTGTTGGCACCCCTAGGGCCCATCTACCCTAGGCATCGGAGCTGGGACTTGAGAGCTGGCCCTGCCTTGGAGGGTGAAGGGTCCCCACAGTCAGATAATCCCCCAATTCCAGAAAACTCCCACTAAATATTAAATACACTAAATACTGAATGCTCCAGTCAGAATAATCTCCAAATTCTAGATAATGCCCAAATCCAGATAACCCCCAAATCCTGTATAATCTCTACCCTGGACAACCACCAAACCCCGGATAATACCTAAAGCCCTGGGTAATCTCCAGAACAAACCTGGGTGGATCGTGTCCAAACAGAATCCATCTCCAGCTCTCTAGACTCCACACCATCCAAGGTCTGAACAATTTCCAAATTCAGAGCCTCCTCAAACTCTTGATGGAGGACCGATCTCTCTGTCTCCAAACTGAGACTTACGTCACAAACCTTGGGTCACCTCCCAAATTCACCAGCCACAGTCTGTACTGAGCACCTTCCCTATGACAAGCCATGCCAGGCCTGGGACATCTCAGGAACAATAGATACGGTCCTTGCCTGTAGAACATGCATTCCATAGTTCACCGAATTCTAACATCCTGCTCGGCTCCCCAACTTCAGGTAGCTGCAGGTTCCTTTAATTCCAGTTAAATTCTCAAATTCTTGAAAAATTTTCAAACCTGGTGACTTGCACAGTTCCATCCTGTCCCTTCAGCCCACGCCCTCCAGCCTGTCATCTGAACCAGCTCTGCTTTCTCTTCCAGCTCTGGGGTGTCACCAAGCAAGGCTACCGCTGCCGGGGTGAGTGGGTTGCCCTCCAGCGGGAGGGTGCTGGGACCCACAGACTGGAGGATGGAGGGTACTAACCACTCCCGTCCCCCAGACTGTGGCCTCTGCTGCCACAAACACTGCAGGGACCAAGTGAAGGTGGAATGTAAGAAGAGACCAGGGCCCAAGGGTGACGCGGGACCCCCAGGAGCCCCTGTCCCACCCACACCACCTCCTCATGCCAGCTCTGGTAAGTCCCAGGGCATGGCAGTGCTGGGAAGGGGGCTGGTGGATGGGGTTCATTTCCAAGGTCATGGGTCTTTCCCATCATGCCAACGTCCCTTCCACCATCACTCCACAAACAGATGCTGAGGAGAGTCTGTCCTACACTCTCTCCCTGGAACCTGAGACTGGGTACCACCTTTGCCATGCTTGGACCCAGACAGAGTCCCCACACCCTTCCTGGGAACCAGAGACGGTAAGCAGGAACTGCGCTCTGCCCCAGCTGGCCATCTGGGAGAGACCAGACAGGTCTGGGGACTCACAGGAAAGTGAAAATATGCAAAAGTCCCCCATTGCTTGGTGGGAGGGGATGGATACTGGCTAATTTATAATGTTGACAGGAAAACAGAAGTTTCAATATGTTGGGGGGGGGCAGTAACCACTAGAACAGAAAAAGGGTTTAGAGAGAGGGCGAAAAACAAAAACAAAAACACTAAGAAGGCAAGAATAATGCTGAGCACAGTGGCGCACGCCTGTAATCTCAGCAGCTCGGGAGGCTGAGGCAGGAGGATCGAGAGTTCAAAGCCAGCCTCAGCAATTTAGGAGGCCTTAAGCAACTCAGTGAGACCCTGTCTCTAAATAAACTATATAAAAGGGCTGGGGATGTGGCTCAGTGGTTAAGTGCCCCTAAGTGTTCAATTCCTGATACAAAAAAAAAAAAAGAAGAAAGTCAAATGTATCAGGAGCTACAATAAATATTAGTGGAGTAAATTCCACTATTTAAAAGCAGAGACTCTTACATCAGGTTTAGGGAAAAAAAAAAAAAAACCCAAAATCCACAAAACCCAGGGTCCATTCGTTCGTCGCTGAGCTGGTCTGGGGGAGACCCTCTTCCCCACATCTGACACCCCCTCACTACTATCTTCCTCCTTCCAGGTCTCCTCCCCAGAGCCAGTCCCACCACCCACCTCCTCCTCCAAGCCAGATTCCTAGACATCATCTTGGGCTCGTCTCTCCCTCACGGCCCCCACCCCAGGACCCCCAGACATCCCCTTCTCCACACCCACAGGGCCTTTGATGACACATCCATCATCACTTGACCTCCCAGAAAAGTTCTTTTCTTCCCTTGTGTGGCAGGAGCTATTAATCCCACTCCATTTCCCACACGTAGCATGTGCGGCTCAGTATTGGGCGCATGTAGACCAAGGCTCACCGTCGCCCGAATCTCCACTCACCAGGTTAGGAGGGAGGCTGGCGAGGTCAGGCTGCTGGCCAAGGGGGCAGAGCTCCCAGGGTAGGAGGCAGGACGCAAACCTGGTCCGCTAAGAGTGAAGCTGCAGACCTGAGCGCAGTGCCCCGTGGACAGCCAGTGTGAGTGAAGGGTGGACAGAGCTCCAAACTGGGGTGGCAGAGACAGGGGAAAGGGGGTGGAACTGTGGGCCTGTGAACCCCCCCCAAAAAAAGCCAGTCCTCACAGTGACCCACAGAGCTCTGCACTCTGACCCTCACCTCTCTGACCCCACCCCCACCTCCCACCCCTTTACTCATCCTGCTTCTGCCACCCTGGCCTCAGTATACCTTGAACATTCCCCAAAGAATCCTACCTCAGGGCCTTTGCACTACCAGGAAGGCTCCTCCCCAGGGCCCCATGTGGCTTATTTTCTGAAACAGTGCTCAAGGGACACTTCTGACCATTTCAGAGACCTGCATCTCCCTGTCCCCCACCCCATCCTGCCTCCCAGCATTATTTTTCTCCATGGTGCTTCCTCTGTGCGACAGATTCACATTCCACCTATATTTTGTGAAATGTCCCTTCCTCCTCACCAGAAATGTTAGCTGTCTTTCCCTATGGTGTCCCCATGCCTAGAACAGAACTGGCACACTGGAGACACAGGATAAGTGTTTACCCCATGCCTCGATGTGCCCTCCCCACGCCCACAGGAAGGGAAAGGGTGTCATGGAAAGGCAGAGGACCCTGTGCATCAGAGCAGTGGGGCCTGTCCAGACGCAGGGCACGGCCTCCCTGCCCAAGGCCACGTGCCCCTGGCCGGGCCTCCACAGAGACGGTCCTACAGCCATCAAAATTAAATTTATTTTCCAGGGAACACTGTTCTTGGCATTGAGAGGTGGACGGGCACAGGACATTTGGGGGCCTCCAGAACCAGGGGATGGGGACTTAGGGGCCGGTACCAAGGGACCCCCAAACTGACTCCCAGGGGTGACTGGCGCCTGGGCATCTCCCGGAGCCCCGCCCCCGGCCCTTTACTTCTTCTTCTTCTTGCGGCCCCAGCGCTGGCGGCTCACTTTCCCCCCACCGCCGTCGTCCCTCCGGCTCTGCCAGCTGGGCATGGGGGCCTCCAGCTCGTTGGGGCGGCCACCCCGGTCCGGCATTTCACCCATAAGCACCTAAGAATCGATCAGACTCGACTTTCAGAGGAAAAAAATAGAAATTGTGGACAAGGGGTCCAGAGAGCAATGGAACAGCATGAGATTCAAGAAGGAAGGGCAGGGGCTGGGGCTGGGGCTCAGCGGTAGAGCGCCGGCCTCGTACCTGTGAGGCACTGGGTTCAATCCTCAGCACCACATGAAAACAAATACATAAAACAGAGATATTGTGTCCGTCTAAACTAAAAAATAAAAATAAAATAAAAAGAAGGAAGGCAGATGGTGACTATTTGGGTAGTGGCTGGGGAGAAGGGGACAGACTGATGGAAGACAAGAGCATCCAGCTTTTAAATTGGCTTCAAAGGTCATCAGAAAGTGGCGGAGTGTGGGGGTGTACACTGAAATCTGGCAGCTCAGGAGGCTGAGGCAGGAGGATCACGAGTTCAAAGCCAGCCTCAGCAACTTAGTGAGGCCCTAAGCAACTTGGCAAGACCCTGTCTCTAAATAAAACTTATTTAAAAAAAAGGTGGGGGGATGTGGTTAAGTACCTAAGGCCCGTGGGTTCAATCCTGGTACAAAAAATAAAAATAAAAAAGTGGGGACCTCAGAAAGAGGAAAATAAAGAGAAAGATAGCAAAGGTCCAAGTCCCCACCCATATTAATGAGAGCCCCTCAACTCTATTTCATATATGGGCTTTGTGTAACATTTCCAGCATGTCCAGTGTTTTTTTCCCTAAATATCCATTATTTGTCCAGGCGTGGTGGCACACGCCTATGATCCCAGTGACTCAGGAGGCTGAGGCAGAAGGATCACGAGTTCAAAGCCAGCCTCAGCAAAAAGTGAGGTGCTAAGCAACTGAGAGAGACCCTGTCTCTAAATAAAATACAAAATAGGGCTATGGATGTGGCTCAGTGGTTGAGCACCCCTGAGTTCAATCCCTGGTACTGAGAAAAAAAAATCCATTATTTGCTCATTGCAAGTTTAAGACTACTTTAGAGGGGCTGGGGCTGGGGCTCAGTGGTAGAGCACTTGCCTGGCATGTGTGAGGCACTGGGTTTGATCCTCAACATTACATAAAAATAAATAAATAAATAAAGGTCTATTGACAACTAAAAAAAATATTTAAAGACAACTTTAGAGAGGTATAAAGCTAAATTCTCAACCACTTAAACAGAGTCTATTTGTTTTTAAAAACGTTAAGCTGGTGGATGGGGTGATGCACACCTGGAATCACAGTGACTTGGGAGGCTGAGGCAGGAGGATCAAAAGTTTGAGGTCAGCCTCAACCACTTAGTGAGACCCTGTCTCAAGATAATGGGAGTGTAACTCTCAGGCAGAAATCCCCTAGGTTTCATCCCCAGTCTCGGGGGAGTGGCAGGGGGGTGGTAAACCAGTTGCAGTGGCACACACCTGTAATCCCAGCAACTCAGGAGGCTGAGATAGGAAGAAGGATGCCAAGTTTGAGGCCAGCCTCAGCAATTTAGTGAGATTCTGTCTCAAGATAAAAAATAAAAAAGGACTAGAGATTTAGCTCAGTGGTAGAGCACCTGTGAGTTCAATCCCAAACAATGCAAAAAAAAAAGAAGTTAAAAACTCATAGACAGGGTAAGGTACAGGGGATAGAGTTTAAACAGCTGGTGAGGTGGGCAATAGCTCAGTAAACAGCTGGATTTTGTAAATAGCTGGACCTTGTTTCAGAGCACTAGAGAGCCACAGTACAGTTTTGAGCTGGAAAGTCCATGATCAGATTTTTGAGTTTTAAGGTCCTTCTAGCTGCCATGTGAAGGGGGGGTTGCTTAGAGGTGGTCAGTCCAGAGGCCAAGAACCAGGGAGCGAGAGGTCAGGTGTGGACAGGGCAAAGGCTGAAAGGCCAATTTGAAGGCCAGGGATGTCAGAGACCTTCCCCACCCAGGTGCCCACCTTGTTGATGGCACAGCTGGTCCCCTGGCGGGCAGCCTTGCTAGTTGCTGGGACCAGGCGAGAAAGGTCAGCTCGGGCAGCCAGAACATGCGCGATGCAGACGTCTGATTCTGGGCTCAAAACCTCTCGAATTGGCATCAACACTGCCTTCATGGCCTTTCCTTGAGCCTGGAGGGGCAGAAAACAGGGAGAAGGTGCCCAAGAGCCTCCCTGGGTGGGATGTCATCTTGGAAGTGTCCCTTTCCCACTAAGGCCTCTGCATGCTTTGTATGTGGTTCATGCACTGGACACTTGGTCCCCAGTGTAATGGTATTAAGAAATGGCGTAATTGTTAAGAAGTCGAGTCTAGGGGAATCATAAGGTCACAGGGACACCACCCTTAGGAGTGGTTAATGCAGTCCAGTGGGTGTAGGTTAGACCTCGCTGCACTGGACTAGTTACCAAGAGAGCTCACTTTATAACAAGTGAGATTCCCCATGTTTTGTTCTTTTCTACATGTGCCTGATTGCCACTCTTACAGGTACCCCCACTCTGTGATGCCACACAGTATGGGCTCTGACCATATTTGACTGCCCAAACTTGAACTTTTCAGCCTGTAAAACCATAAGTGACAATAAACCTCCTTATAAAGTACCCAGTCACAGGTACTTTGTCATGGCAACAAGAAACAGACTAAGATAGCATCACTGCCCACACCTCTCTCCAAGGGGTATAGTTCTGAAGACACTCCCAGCTCAGAGCTGGGAATTCTAGAATTCCCTGAAGGCTTGAGATTCTAGAAGCCCCAGATCTTACAAGATTCTAAAATGGTCTGGGCCTCAGAACTTCCAAGAGGATAATATTCCTGGCCCTCATTCCTCCACCTCACAGTTGTGGCCCCCACAACTAGGCCTCCTGCTCCTTCCAGTGTCCTGTGCCCACACCTTTGCCCGATCACTCCAGTGGAAAGCAGATGTCGTGAGGTCCAGGCGCTTGAGGAGGAGGCAGCGACGGCAGTAGTACTGATCTGCCAAGCTTCCGGATAGAGACTCCAACGCTTTCTGGAAGAAAAGGTCTGTCACACCCGGACCCCTCTCACTCCCGTGTCTGGATGTCACCTATAACTGTACATAGTCTTACCCATTGGGGTGCGTTCAGTGGGTAGCTGAGGAGGGGCTGCATGGACCCTGGGGGCAGGGAAGGCAGCAGCTCTGAAATCTGATGGGAGAAGAGAGGTCAACTGAAGCAGAAACAGGATGAACCCCTCCATGGGCCCCAGTTCCCCTCGACCCCGAGGACCCAGGCCACAGAACCAAGAATGGTGGCCTCAGTTCTAAAAACACAGCTATGTGATTGAGACACTCCCGCTAGGGCTTAGGGCTCCTTTTGGAAAGAAGAGCCAAGGAAGACGGGGTGGCTCCGGTCTCTACCTTGGCATGTAGCTCCCGCAATATCTGGCTGGCTTGAGTCCCTGGCATGGGTCTGGGCAGCCCCAGGGCTTGCAGGATGAGGACCAGTTCCTGGACCGTGCCAGCTTCCTCTTCTGCCCCGTCCCCAAGGGGCGTCACTGAGCTGGAGTCCAGCAGGGGGCGCAAGCACAAGAGGCGGGCAGCCTGGAGCTCAGAGCAGAGAAAGCCTGGAAACAGGAAAGGGATCCGTGCAGGTGCAGCGGAGGTGGACTGGGCCCCGCCACCTTCCAGCCCCTGCCCACCTGGAACACTGGCTCTGCCTCCAGAAGAAGCTTCACCCACTAAAGGCCGGGTGTCCCCGAATTCGACTCCCGCCCACTTCAAAACAACCTGCGCTGCTCCATCTAACTAAACCCACTTCGCTTCCAGAGTCTATCGTCAAAATTCTAGCCCTGCCCACGTCGGGGCTCTCGGCCGGCCCCAGCGCTGGCCCCACCCACTTCGGACCCTCTGGCCCGCCCTAAAATTCTGACCACGCCTCCCTGGGAACCCGGACCCTCCCTCAATGTTCCGAGCCCGCCCGCTCCGGAGCCCCTAGCCTCGCCCACTCCCGCATCCCGGGGCCGCCGCGGCTCACGCAGCAGGCGCAGGCCGGCGCCGGGTTCCCGCAACGCGGCCTCGCGGCCTTCGCCGCAGAGCGCGCGATCCGGGCAGTGCAACGCCCGCAGCAGTCCCGCCAACTGCCGCAGGAATCCCTCGTCGGCGCCGGGGCCTGCAGAAGGAGGGAGGAGTCAGGGCGCGGCCGAGCCCGCGGCTCCCCGCCTCCCGCCCCGCGGCTCCGTCCGCACCGTTGCCGACGCTTAGCACTTCTGCACCCTCCTCTCGCGGCTCCTCCAGAGTGCCCAGTGTCACCAGCTCCGCTGCCAGCCGCACGCACAGCGCCCTGAAGCCTGGGCATGAGGGGCCCCTTGATGCCACCTCCGGGAAGTCCCCATACCTACGGCGGGGGGTGGGTCAGTGCGATTCCCTCTCCGTCGGAGTCCTGAGTTAAACCGCTCTCCTGTCCCCCAGCCACACCACACACCGCCTTACCCCAGAGCTCGCAGGTCCCGGGCCACTGCGGCCCCCTCCTGCGCCTCTGCCTCCGCCCCCTCCATGGAAAAGTCGCCTTGGTGCCGGACTCGCGCCCCCTTCCGGCCGGTGGCAGGCTCCGCCCCAGGAGCGCCGCGCGCACCGCCACCCGACTGCGCAGGGTGGCGGCCCGGGCCAGTCAGCCTCTTGTCGAGAAAGGACTTCAGCGCTCCAATTGGCGCAGAAGGAGGCAGAACCCGCCCCCAAGTCCGCCCTCACCGCCCTTCAGGTAACCTGTCTGGGCTGTAAATTTCAGAGCGTTGGCTCAGGATCCCAGCTGTCGCGACAAGCTAATAAGTGTCTCTACTGTGGCTACATAAAAGCAGTTTGGGCCTCCTTTTTCTCAGTCTCCCTTGGTGGCCTTCTGATCTTCATGCATCCCAGTCTAGATGTTCTTCACACTTCACACAACTCCCGTCTCAAATCCTGAACCTTGCTTCCTCCTCTTCCTTATGAATGAAGTCAAAGATCTAGCTATTTCAGCTAACCTCTCACACCCGCTCCCCCACCTAGGCCCTCCTCAGCTATCCCAGTGTGCCCTTAGGCCCTCAACCCCCACTTCTCTAGGCCTTTGAGTGATGGAGCTGGGGCAATCCATGGCCTTCGCGAATAAGAGATTGCACCCAAGGAGGCAGGCAGACAGGATTAGGGTTTGACTCTGCCCCTCACCAGTTCCTGCCAAACTGCTTTCCATCTGTATAATAGGGATAATAATATAGTACCTACTCTTAGTTGTTTATGAGAATTAATTAGTCCTTATGTAAAAAGCACGAGGGTACTCAATTAAGAATAACAACGATGGCATTGAGTAATTCAGTTGTGCTACTAGGCTAAGTATCTTATCCCCGTTTTACATAGAAGGTTCAGAGAATGTAAGTTACTTGGTGAATTCATGGTGGTGCCAAGACTCAAAGATCTAATTCCAGATTCCATGCTTTTAAACCTCTGAGCCTGTTATTGCTGCTGATGATTTTGTTTCTATCATTAAACATCATAGGTCCAGTTCTTATCTCTGATTGTCCTCCTTCTCTGGAAGTAGATGAGTTGGGAGCCCCAGGATAGAACAAGGGTCAGAACCAGTCCCTGCAGAGCCCTGTCTACCCCAAGGCAGGGCACTTAGGGAAGACATCTGTTGCACTAAATAAAACATTAAAAATTGCCCAGCCCCCAAACTTGGACTTATATATAACCTTGACTCTTGTTTATTTCTTGGAAATTGAATCCAGGGCCTTGAATGTACTAAGCACACTCTCTAGTGCTGAGCTACATCCCCAGTTGTTATTTTTTTTTTTTAATATCAAACTCAGTATATAATCTGTGGACTCGACTTTCAAAATAGGTCCAGTGTCCTCATACTTCTCCCTCCCCCACCGCCCTCCCTTTGGCCCTACCCACCATGGTCCCTCCCTGGACCATTAAGGCAGCCTCCACTGTCACCCTGCCTCCCCCCAAGTACCTGTTACCCAGAGGGGGCCTGTGAACCTGGGTCAGGTCTCATCCCACCCATGCTTGAAGTTTTCCTTCCTGTGGTTCCATCTGACTCAGGATAAAAAAACAAAATCCATACAATGACCTGCAAGATCTGCACTGTCCCTTCCCTCTCCTCCCCTCTAGATGCTAAAATCTCCCTTCATGTTCCTCAGACTTACCAGGCACCTCCTAGCTCAGACCTTGCACTGGCTTTTCCTTTTCCTCTGAACCAGACCACCTAACTTCCTCCAGGGCTGTATTTGAATGCCAGTTCCTGAATAACGCCTTACTTTTCCACTCTAGCTAAAATATTCTGTCCCCCATGCTTCTTCCCCATCCTGCACTGGGGATTGAACCTGGGGTGCTCTCCCACTGAGCTACATCCCCAGCCCTTTTTGATTCTGAGACAGGGTCTTGCTAAGTTGCCTAGGCTGGCCTGGAATTTATGATTCTCCTCCCTCAGCCTCCTGAAATCACTGGTATTAACAGGTGTGCACCACCCCACCCATCTCTTCCTTATATTCTAATAGATTAGGTCTATTATTGTCTCCCCACTACAAAGTCATAAGCTCCAGTGGGAAGGGATTATTGCCTGTTCCAGCTGCTTTATACATAACAGGTGCATGATATATGGGGTGCCCAATGAATGTACTTGAATGACGGAATGAGACTCTGCTGGACTTCTCTTGGGACTAAAGGATGTAGAGGGGAAGGGACAACTGAGGCAGGAGACTGGTATGGCAATTCAGGAACAGGAGTGGGTGGGGCGCGCCAATGCAAATAAAAAACTCAGGCTGAGACTTTGTCACAGACGTTTCTTGGAGCAGATCTCATGCCCCCTCCCCCGATGACAAGGCTGGGTCTTGGGCCCCCATCCTCCCCCCCACTTCAGCCTGCACTGACACTAACAATGTTGAGGTCACAGACTGGCTTGGAATCAAAATCAGGAAGATAAATGTTGGGGTGTCTCCCCCAAGCCTGGGGGCCAAGCATCCAATCTGAGGGGCAAGCAGCTGGGAAATCGGGCCTGGGTGCTCCAGGGTGTAAGGTCTTCCTGGCTCCCAGGGTCAGCCCTCCATGCACCCCTGATTTTGGGGTGATGAAGGGTAATCATGGATCAGAGGTGGGTATCAGCAGGGAACAGGACTGGGAGACCTGGGAGAGGCGGTGCTGGGAGGTGGGGGCTGGGCTCCCAGCCCCCACTGCTTCATCCAAAAATCCCACAGCACCATACAGCACTCTAGTCTCCTGTCCCACCCCTCCCCAAAACGAGGTAGGTTAAGAATGGAGCTTCCCCCCGCCCACCATGGAAGGGGGGAGACCGAGGCACAGAGAGGGGGATGGGGACCCAGGCTGCCCCAGCCCCCAGTCCCTCCGCCCTCAGCTCTGGTGGGTCTGACAGTGATGAGAGCTGGGCAGAGTGGGGATGGGAGGGACACCCCCCCTTTTCTCTCACCCATCCCAGGGTCTGGTTGGCAGAGCTGAATCTCACAGGTTCCGGATACAATAAATAGTTAATAATTTAAAGGAAGTGACAGTAGGATCTATCCCTTGAACCCCCACAAGGCCATCCAAGTCTGGGTAATAAAGAAAATGCACATTTCCAGATGCTTGAGGCCAGATGCAGGTCCAAGCCTGCAAAACATTGGGACTGTCTTGTTCTAAGGCCTCGGTTCCATCATACAGGACAACAGATCTTAAGGTACACTTGGACACCCCGCTCTACGCAAGGCAGAGAGACTGTGGCATCCCCCTTCCCTGTTAGGGGACAGGCCATGAAACAGGCTTTTGTTTTCCAGAACACACCCCAACTCTAAGATGGAAAAGGAGGCTCTCGGAAGGATGGGCTTAGACTAGGGCTGGGCTGAAGGAGGGCCTCCGAGGATGGAGATTACAAGGGTCAGCAGAACCACAGTTCACCCCAAAGGCGCCTTTGTGCAAGTGAGAGAAAGGCAGGCCTTCCTGAGAGCCCGTCTCAGCCAGCAGGCTTCAGTGGGGACTGCAGCCCCAGCATGCCACTGAAGCTGGGCGCTTTGCTTAGGGACGAATCTGCACCATCCTCTGTGGTGACACTGCGCCCTGGAGGTGGGGATGGGGAGCTCCTGGGTAGCCCTGAATCTGGGCATCTGAGTTCAAGGTGATGAACTTTAGGATAAGGGCAATTCTGAGGATTGCTAGGGTACTGGGCTGGGGTCCTGAAAATTAGAATTCCAAAGTCCAGGAGCTTGGGGTCTCAGGGGCCTGTGCACGGCAGGATTCACAGGGCAACAGTTCCGAGCCAAGCCCAAGGAATCGGGCATAGAGGCATCTTGGGACTTCATCAGGTTAGACAAGTTTGAGTCCAAGAACTCTGGTATCCGAGGGTGCTAGGGTCCTGGGTCATCTTGGATCTGAGTGACTGTGGTATGGAAGGACCAAGGTCTTGAATTAGGAACAATCCCAATGTTGTCAGGGCCCAAGCCCTGCATCTGACGGTCAATGGCACCTTGGAGTCTGGGATCCAGTGCTCTTAAAGCACCCTGGGGTCACTCAGGAGCTGGATGCCAAGGGTTGAGGTCTGGATTGCCATCCCATCTTCTAGGAGCTGGACTTCCACCTAGCCTTTAGGTGACCGGGGATCTGTGGATAGAAGGAAGCCAAGGATTCTAGGGCATTTTGGGTCTCAACGTTCAGGTCCGAGGTGGACTGAAAGAGGGCTTTTTGAAGATCTGAGACAGTGTCTTTGGGCCCTGAGGTACTGGTGGCCTTCAGTGAAACGCTGGGAATATCACACACCTCAGAGTTCATATATGAGATTCAAAGCCCCCAAGAACACTGGTTTGGGGGTGGGTGAACCTACAAAGGTCTTCAATTCCTTATCTGCACAGCATCTTGGTGTCTGGTACCCGTGAAGTTCTGGGACAGGTCTCCTAAATCATTTTGGTCAGAGAACATCTCATGTTTGTGCATATCCAAGAACTCAACGCATCTTAAGTCTCCAGTCCTAGGACATCTGGGGTCACGTGTACAAGTTAGATCTTGGTGTCCGGGATCAAAGGCCAGGTCTGTGGGGCACTCAGTAGTGAGTAGACTTGAGGCCAGCATCTGCTGATTCCAGGGTTTGATGTCTCAGGGGTCCTGGGACTATAAGAACATCTCAGATGTGGAGTACCAGGTCCCATATGAACATTCAGGGACCATTTGGGGGTGATTTGGGGACCTGTGGTCTCAAGATCTGGGAGTAACTGGATACAGGCAGGAACAGGTATTGGCAACTCCTAATTATGGGGCTATTATAATCTGAGGGTTATGGTGCCAGTGTGAAGGGGGTCTGAGTTGGTCAAATGCATAGGGAGTCAGGGCTCAAGGTCCCTACATCTCTCAAAGATCTGTGTGCTTCCCAGGCCCTCTGAAATGCAGTCCGGGGAGTAGCGAGTGTCCTCAGCAGGGAAGAAGGATGGAGAATCCAGAACTCAGGCCTGGGTGCTCTTGACAGATATCCCAATGAAACTAGGCTTGGTGCTGCTCAGTCATCGATCTAGGGTCCAGGTTCCAGGTCTGGGATTTCTCAGTCCAAACTCAAGCTTCAAGTTCCAAATGTGCCTAGGTTTGGGTTTTAGATTCGAACCAAGTCTGGGGTCCTGGACACTTAAGTTGGGGTCCTTGGTCTGGTCCAGCAACCGGACCCGCCAGGCAGTCCTCACCGCGCAGCTTCCTCGTGGCGACCCCCACAGCCCGCGCAGCCGCATCTTGCAGCGACCCAGTGGCACGCGCGCAAGGGGGCGTAGCAGCAGAGACAGGGCACTGCCAGGGAGAGCGCCGCCAGGGCGGCCCAGCGCGCGGCAGGGCGCGGGTGACCTGGCTCGCAGGCGCAGGGGTCCGAGAAGTCGCCCTCGGCGTCCGACAGGCAGTGATAGAGCAAGCTCTCGGCGCACCACAGGCAGCTGAGTCGGCGCACCAGTAGGCGACCGGGGTCCGGGGCCTCTGCACAGCGGCCACCACGCCCGTCTGCGCGGCGGCGGAAGAGCGCACGGCAGTGCACGCAGCGCGCTGCCTCCTCGGCCTCAGGGGAGGCCTTGGCGGGTGCAGGGGTAGGGCCTGGGCCCGGGGGTGGGCGGGCTGGGGGTGCTGGGGGTGCAGCCTCGGTGAGAGGGGCAGGTAGTGACACGGGGGGACCCAGGGCCGCACCCCTCAACGTGCCAGTCTTGGCGAAGCGCACCACGCAGGTGGACAGGGCCAGGGGCGGGGGAGGCCCGGGGCGCCTGTAATCCTCATAGCCGCGTCCGCCCCAGCCCTGGCCGCCGGCCCCCGCCACGGACTCCGCCAGTTCCGGAAGCCCGGTGAACGGTAGAAGCGGAGGGTAGCTCTGCAGGACGAAGGGACAGGAGATCAGGTTAGCCGTGCCTCACCCACCCCACCACCACCACCTCCCAACCGCAGAAGACCCAGGACTCCACAGCCAACCACCGAGCCGCAGGACCCATCACCCAGGGACCCGGGGCCTTAGGACACTCCTGGCCTGCGGATTCAAACCTCAGGACCCAGCCTGCCCCTCGCCCAAGGCCCCTCGGCCGCCCCTTTCCCACGGTCAGAGGAGTTCAGGCCTGACCATACTTGAAGGACCTCTTGGCTTCAGCCTCCCTGTCCTGGTCCCTCTCCAAATCCGCTCCCAGAGCTCCCAGATCCCAGCCAGCTCCCGCTTCAGGACTAAGAAATCCAGACTCTGGGTCCCTTTTACCTTGGGTACCGAGCTAACCAACGAGTGAATTAAGTCGTTTAAGGAGCCCTTCTGTGAGTACCACCACCACCCTGATACACTCCAACACTGTCCCATAATCCCCAAGTCCCTCTGGAATTCAGAACTCCCCCAAATCTCCAAGAGCCCCCCAGATACGGGAAAACCCAATCCAACCTCAGGTCAGGCTTGCCTGGCTCTGGGCGTCCTCTTCTACCACCCTCCACCCCCGCCCCTTAGGGACGGCGGCACCCAAACTTCCACTGGGGGGCAGAGGTCGCACCTGAGCGGAGGAACGGCGGCGCTGGGGGGGCGTGGCCGGCCCGAAGGCAGAAGCTGACTCCAGGGTGATGATGGGGGCTGCTGCTGCAGCCGGTGGCGTCTCCTGGCGGCTATGACTAGAGGAGGAGTCGCTGTCCACATGGGACTGGGGGAGATTGGCAGTCTCAGCACGGAGACACGCCCCTCTTCCCAGCAGCTGAAGCACTTACATAAACCCCCTCCCGTGGAGATCAAGGGCTCTGAGGCCAGCCAAGCCTGGGTTTAAGCCCAGCTCTGCCACTGGCTCCTGCAAGTGAGCTCACCTCTGAGCCTCAGTTTCCACCTCTGTAAAATGGAGGTAATAATAATAATACCTATTCATAAGGATGTAGTTAGGACCCACTATAAAGGACACCACCCATGTCCCAAGAACAGAAAGAGCTTGAAATGGTTATCATTAGACTCCTTTTTTTTTTTTTGAACCCAGGGGTGCTTAACCACTGAGCCACATCCCCAGCCCTTTTTGTATTTTATTTAAAGGCAGGGTCTCACTTAGTTTGTTAGGGCCTCGCTAAGTGGCTGAAGCTGGCATTGAACCCACAGTTCTCTTGGACAGCCTCCAGAACCGCTGGGATGACAGGTGTTCGCCACTGTGCCTGGCCCCAGTCCCCTTTTATTTTATTTTTATTTGATATTGAGACAGGGTATCCCCAAGTTGCCCAGGCTGGCCTTGAATTTGTGATGCTCCTGCCTCAGCTTCCTAATACCTGGCATTACTAACTTCGACTGCTGCTCTTCTTAACTACTCAGCTCTGTGACCCACAGTACACGGAACCATCTAGCTTCCCTTTACCCTTCTCCCTTGGCCAATCAGCCATCTTCCTGCCTCATTCTCACCACTACACCTTTATGGGGGAATCACCACCACCTGGAATGCCTTCCTTCCTGTCCAAATCAGGTTGTCCTTTACCAACTGAAGTCTGTCACTTCTCAGACCCTCTGTAAGCTTTCTGTAAGGTGAGCATAATTCCACCTCCTCTGTTCCCTACATTCAATACACATTCATGGCGTGCTAAGCGCAAAAGCCCCTGTGCAGATTGAGCTGAAGCACAGACAGCAGCATCTTTCAAGTAAGGGCACCATAGACAGGAAATGTGGGTGACTGCTGTGGACCCACCTCCATCGCCCATTATCCTGAGATTCTCCCCTGTTCTGCTCCAGGAACAAGTTTTGTTTCCCCAAGTGCTCTCAGCAACTCCCACTGTTCCCAGCAAGCACCAAAAGGTACCTGAGAGTCTGTGCATTCATTTATTCCACCTATTGATTCAACACACTCATTCAACTGCGTACCTGACACTGTCTTCGGCATTAGAATTGCAGCATGAAACCTACAAAAGATCCTTACCTCCCAGAGCTGACACAGGAAGTGGATGGTAAATAAATAAATAAGAAAGATGCTTTTTCAGAAAACAAAGAAGGAAAATGTCTTAGATGGAAAAAAATTAGAGCCTGATAAGGGGCAGTAGGAGATTGTGATTTTAAAAGGTTATTCAGAGAAGCCATCACAAGGTGATATTTGTTTAAAGCCCTGAAAGAAGAAAAGGAGCCATGTAGGAATCTGGGGAAAAAGTGTTCCAGACAGCAGGGTCAGTGCAAAGGCCCTGAGACAGGCATGTGCCTGGAGTTGAGTGAGAGTAAAGAGGCCAGTGAGGCTGGGGCAGGGAAAGTAAGGGGGACAGCGACTCAGGGCCAGATGGTGGGGGATCTTATGTGCCACTATGAGGACTTTGTCTTTTACCTAGAGTGAGACAAAGCCCTGGGAGGGTTCTGAGTGGGGGAGGGGTAAAATCTGACTCAACTGCCAACAGGGTTCCCAGGGCTTTGTGTGGGAAAGAGATGAGGGGGAGGGGAAGGGAAGAGGAGAGGAGATAATGAGACCCTATCGGGACAGTGCAGTTGGAAAATGAAGTTGGACAGTACAAGGGGTGGGGGGGGGGGGGGGGGGCAGATTCTGACCATTCTGAAAGTAGAACCAATAATTTGCTGACACATTAGAGGAGAAGCATAAAAAGGATGATCCTTCCCCAAGGTTTGTAGTCCGAGTAACTGGCATATGGAATTGTCTTTCATTTGTTCACCCATTTACCTTTTTTTTTTTTTTTTTTGAGACAGGGTCTCACTAAGTTGCCAAGGCTGGCCTCCAACTTTCAATCTCCCTGCCTCAGCATCCCAAGTAGCTAGGACTATGGTGTCCACCACCACATCCAGCCCCATTTTTATTTAATCACCTATAAAATATATCCTTTTTCTGGCCTTTCCTGCACGAGAATAGAAGCTCCAAGAAAAAAGGAACTGTTTTGTTCACTGATGTATCTCCAGTGCCTAAAACACTGCCTGGTACACAGACGGTGCTCAATAAGTACCCTGGAATAAGGTGTAAATCATCATGAACAACAACAACAACAAAAAAGTAGAGTAACTGGAATTGAACTGACACTAATAGTTTGGGTCTATTTTGTGTCCCCAGCATGTGGCCCAGCGCCTGCTACACAGGAGGTGCTCAGGGATGTTTCTAGATGAGGAACCAAGCCCAGCCCTCCCAGCAGAGGCACCCAGACTCACCGTCAGAGGGCAGGGAGTCTCGGCAGTGTCCTGGGAAGGGGAGGAGGAGGAGGAGGAGGAAGAGGAGGGAGTGAGCGAGCCTGGGGCAGGGAAAGAGGCAGAGAGTGAGTCCCCAGGCGCCAGCTTCTCCTGGGACTGCCCCCAGCCCCAGTGCCCTCTGCCCGCAGCCTGCACATTCACCTCGGCCCAGAGCAGCCAGCGCAGCCAGCAGGCTCTTCTGGAACTCGTCAGCCTCTGCAGGACTCTGAAATGTCAGTCCGAACTTGCAGTCTCCCAGGCTCCAGTGGTGGAAGATGGGGTTTACTTTGTTGTAAACCAAGCCTGGCCGCAGGGTGCACTCCAAGGTGGTCTGAGGGGCAGGAGGGGGATGGGTGAGACACAGGACCTAGCCACAGCTGTGACTTCCCCTCACTCACCCTTGCCCCTCTGCATACCCCAGCATCCTACCAACCTCATTCCCCAATCCTGCTTATACCCCTGAACCCTGATACAATCCTCCAATTTTATGGAATGCACCTCTGATACTTCAATATTTCCTTCAATCATTTGATCATTATATTTTCCTAATATTCCCCTGTGATACCCTGGTAGGAATCCCAATTTTTTTCTTTCTTTCTTTCTTTTTTTGGTACCGGAGATTGAACTCAGGGGCACTCAACCACTGAGCCACACCCCCAGTCCTATTTTGTATTTTGTTTAGAGAAAGGATCTCACTGAGTTGCTTAGCACCTTGCTTTTGCTGAGGCTGGCTTTGAACTTGTGATCCTCCTGCTTCAGCCTCCAGAGCTGCTGGGATGACAGGCATGCGCCATTGTGACCAGCAGAATTCCAAATTTTATTGACTGCCTAAAGCATTGTTAATACCTTTCCGATGACCCAACATGCCCCCTTCAGACTCAAAGCACTCCAAGAAAAAAGGAACTTTTTTGTTCACTGATGTATCTCCAGTGCCTAAAACACTGCCTGATACACAGAAGGTGCTCAATAAGTACCCTCAACCTTTAGTGAACGTGGTGGTGCATGCCTGTAATCACAGCTCGGGAGGCTAAGGCAGGAGGATTGCATGTTCAAAGCCAGCCTCAGCAATTTAGTGAGACCCTGTTTCAAAAAATAAATAAATAAAAAAGGGCTGGGAATGTAGCTCCGCAGTAATGCACCCTTGGGCTCAATCTCCAGAACCAAGAAAAAAAAAAAAAAAAAAAAAATAAAAAAAAAAAATATATATATATATATATATATCCATCCTCTTCTAATGTTTCAATAGTCTTCTAAACTCTTACCCCAATTTTTTATTAAACTTCCAAATTCCCCCTCAGTGTTGGCCAGCACCCTTGATGTGCCCTCATGTTCTTGTCTAACATGACGACATTCCTCCATAGCATTTCAAATCCCCCTACATTGCTTCTAGAAACCTCTGCTCTGAAAGGGTAGCCTTCCCTCAAAACCTTTTCAAAGAATCCAAATCTTCCTACTACATCTCCAGATGAAATTTCCACACTGTCCCTCCACATCAGGCCAGACAGCCCGGTGATTCCTGTTGAACTCACAGGCAGAATTGTCAACTATATTTGGCAATTCCAAGCAGACACCCACTGAATGCCTCCATATACTTAGGGTACACAGGGGTCAATTGGATTAGGCCCTCTGGCAAGGGTCTGTGAGAAAGACAGAGCTGGGGAAGGGTTCTGAGTGGAGGAGGGATATGATCTAAGGTGGGTGTCAGTAGTGCCCCTGTGGAACAGACTGGGGATGAAGCAGGAGCAGGAACCAGGCAGGAAGACTAGTCAGGAGGTTGCTGCAACACACTAACAGGCCATGTAATAGAAGGACCTGCCCGATACCCCAATATTCCCCAAATTCCCAGCTCTCATCTGTAGGTCAGGGTCATTTCCAAACTCCACCCGAGGTCCCAGTTTGATTCCCAGGCTGGAGGACAGCCTGCCTTCTCTGCACGCCAGGCCATTCCCCTGCCTCCCCAGCCCCACCCTACCCCACGCCCCAGGGTGGCTCACTTTCTGGTCCCGGAGGCGCTCCCCGTGGATGACGTAGTGCCCCTGGCGGGCCCCCCCCTCGGGCCTGGCCCCTCGGACCCGACATACGCTCACCTGGCTGAGGCCCCCGCCCCCCACAGGCAGCCAGCCCCCACTGGAGTCATCTCGGGCCATCACCACAGCTCGGACCCGCACCATGTACCTGGAGGAGGTTGGGAGGACAGGGACAACAGTCAGTGAAGTCAAATCCTGTTTTCCCCCTCAGTGTTCTCCCAGCCCTGGTCTCCCTGGCTTCATCGCTCACATCGGGATGCCCTGTACCCCCAGCCACCAGCACTGGCTGTCTCCTCTCGTGTCCACTTTATTCTAGCATGGCTTCTTTCTTCCTTGTGACATCTCTTCTCTCCCATGTCTACCTTCTATCAGACACCTATCTTTTCTCTCCATACCCACCTTTCCCCCATCTTTCCCATCACCAGCCCCAGAGCCTTAGTTTTTCATTTCCCCTCCCCCTCCTGCTCATACCCTCAACCCGGTCTCCTTCCCTCTCTCAGCACAAACCCACAGCCCCACCCATCATCCCCCCTCACAGTTGGGTTCCTGCGCATATGTATTTCTCAGGGCCCATCAACTCAGCTCCAGTTCTCTCAACCTGCCTCTGCACCCTGTCACCCAGGCCACTGGCTGGGTGAGAAACCCTGGCTCTCTTCCCCCCACCCCTTCCCGGATTTATGAATGAGACCGGATGCAAAGCTCACTGAGTCACCCAGCAACGGGGAGATGGACAGGGAGCAGGGAGAGAACCAGAAATGGCCAGAAAAAGGCCGAGAGAAAGAGATGGAGGCAGAGGAAGCCAGAAACCGGCAACTGAAGATATCCTGGGAGCATTTCATTCACAAAAATCAAGGCTGCTCCCTCAGGTCCCGGCCGAGTGAAGCCAAGGGGAAGAGATGGGAGGTGGGTGGGGAGATCAATACCCCTCCCCAGCATCCTTCAAAAATATTTCATCCTGCCCACCCCCCAGCTCAGGGGACAGAGCCCTCCCCCCAGTAATTTGGATTAGCGTCCAGCCCCTCACTGCCATCCAGCGCAGGGACCCAGGCGTCCCAACCTTAGGATCCCAGGCAACGAGTTCTAGCCCCCTCCCCCACCTGCAGGCTGCCGGGTTTCCCGGGGCCTTCGGGAGGGGAAGGGGCGGTCGCAGCGCCCCCAGCCCCCTTTTCTCAATGGGATGGGATTTTGTGAATGAGCAGTCACGTGACTCTGCTTCCTTTGTCCGCCCGCCTCCCCCGACAACAGGTGAAGCAGGGAAAGAGGGCAGGGGTCCCCCCGCAGGGCCTAGCTGGGCTGGGGCACCAGTATCTCGGGGTGCCCTACGCTCCTCGCACATCTGTGTTTCCCCGGGGAGTGGTCCTCAGAGTTCCTCAATGGTGAGGGTCCAGGACGGAATTTTGTGAATGAGGAGTCCTTGGAGGAAGTCCAGGACCCCAAATGGAGACCGGTACCCTAAATGGCTGCCGCGCAGTTTGGGGGCCCCCATCCCCTTGTCCTCCCAGCCGGGGTCCGCGGGGCGCCGGGGTGGGCAGAAGGCGCTGCGCGGTCCTGGCCGCCCCCTCACTGGGGCAGGCGGTCTGTCAGCCCCCGCCCCCTCGCGGCCCTCTGCACCTGCCTGGGAGGCTCCGGCCGGGCTCCGAGCGGCGGCGACGCGGCCTCCTCCTCCTCCTGTCCGCTCCGGCTCCCTCGCTGGCTCCGGCGGCGCTGGAGACGGGCACCGGGAGCCGGGGGAGGGGGGAGGGAGGGGGAACCTGGAGGACGGGTGGGGGGGAGGGGGCGGTTTGGGGGAGGGGTAAGAGAGAGGCGGGCATACTCGCCCGCTGGGTCCTAGAGCCCGGCATAGGCCGCTAGGAACAGCCCCCCAGCCCCCATTTTCTCAGGATGCAGAGCGGATCCTTCACTTTTCCACTCATACGCCTCATACGCTCCTTTGGTCCCCGAGGATATACGGAGGGGACCGGGACAAGGCTTGGTCTCAGGGTTCTAAAGAGGCGGTGGTCTACAGTTTGGGCTCTAAACGGGAGGGGCTGGGTGCCTGGCAGTGTTCGAAAAGAGGTGGGGCAAAGGGAGAATTCGCAAGGGGGCGGGGTTGGAGAGACTGAGTAAGAAGAAGGTTTGGATGCTAAAGGAACCGACAAGAGGGTGCGTCATGGAAGGGGTGGGTCCACCGAGGATGTACCTCCTGGACTGGCGGAGGGAAAGAGAGGGTCCAGGAAAGAGGTACTGCCAGATCCTAAAGAGGCGGGGCTTAGAGATACATTGCCTTGGGGGCGGGGCAGAGGAGAAGTCCCAAAGGGAGGAGCTACGTAGCAGTGGTCGTAATGGGTGGGACGGGGGTGGGGGAGATAACGATGGGCGGGGCATTCTAAAGGGGTGGAGCTAAAGAGAACGTTCTAAAGGGGTGGGGCTTATGAACAGATGGCCTGGGGGCGGGGAAGAGGACTTCGGAGTTTTTCAAAGGGAGATCCAGGTTCCTAAGGGCCAGCTGAAGCTGGCCCACAGGAGGGCGGGGCCTCGAGCCCGGGGGCGGGGCATAGATCTCGGGGTCCGCCCTCGCTGTCTCGCCCACTTGCCTTCACCCGCACCCCCGTTCTTTTCGGTTATTTTCTGCTACGGCCGTTCCCTGCCCTATCCTGGGCCCAGGGGGCTGCGGTCTGAACTTTGGTAGGCTGGAGAAGTCGGTGAGTGGGGTCTTCTGGACGGAGACAGGGCGGAGCTTGGGGGAGGGGTGGAGCCCGAGTGTTGAGACCGCTGGTAGATCCGGAGCGGGGAAAAAAAGATTGAGGTTTGAGGATATGCGGCTGCCTGCGAACAGGGAGGGATCCAGATGATCGACAGAGACTGGATGGTCGGAGGGTTAACATGCTCAGAACACCCGGTATTTGTTGGTCAGAGGCAGGGCCAGACAGCAGGTGGGGGCGGGGTGGCGTCGAGGGCAGATTCCCCCGACAATCGGGGGCGGGACCAGAGAGTGGGGCGGGGCCTAGGCCCCTGGAGAATGATTGGAGTGCTGGGAGAGAAGCCTGAGCTCCTGTAGGCTACAGGGCACAACCATCATTAGCGGTGTGGCCGGACAGACAGACCGGAAGGCGGGCAAGACCTGAGTCTTGAAGTCTGGAGACCCTGGGCTTGGCCAAAGTGTAGGGATGTGCTTTAAGGAACCAGCCAAGGAAATAGGGGTGGAACCTTAGAACTTTAAGGGGTTGGGGCCTAAATTTCTTACCAGCAGCTTATGAGGGGTCACGGGGAAGTAGGCGTGAGCGTCGAGATTCTGGAAACAGAAGACTGGAGACGAGAGCTGAGTAGATATTGGAGGACAAGGGCGGGGCCAATGCAGACGGATAAGTTCTGGAACAGACAACGTCGTGGGGTCCCCATTGCCCTGGCAGACTGACTGGCTAAAGTTTTTCTGACCGCAGTCCTCGACCTCCGTCGGAAATGGGGAACGTGCAGTCGGAGCCATCCGCGGGCGGGGGCTCCCGAAAAGAACAGGCCTCGGATCGCGCCTCTGACTCCCGCCGGACGTCCCTGGTGGAGCCCGAGGTGACCCCCTCCTCCCCGGCCATGCGCCTGGCTCGAGGGCTGGGTGTCTGGTTCCCTGGCAGCTCCGCGCCCCCGGGACTCCTGGTACCCCCGGAGCCCCAGGCCTCACCCTCACCCCTGCCCCTGACCTTAGAACTGCCCTTGCCAGTGACGCCCCCTCCAGAGGAGGCGGCTGCAGCCGCAGTCTCCACACCACCCCCACCCCCAGTGGGGACCCTGCTGCCCGCGCCGTCTAAGTGGCGAAAACCCACGGGCACTGCGGTGCCCCGGGTCCGCGGCCTGTTGGAGGCGAGCCATCGCGGACAGGGCGACCCTCCGAGCCTCCGCCCGCTGCCACCGCTGCCCAAGCAACTAACTGAAAAGGACCCTGTCCCGAGAGCCCCAGCCCCTCCTCCTCCGACGCCCCTGGAGCCACGAAAGCCACCACCACTGCCACCTTCAGACCGGCAGCCCCCAAACCGCAGAATCACTCCAGCTCTGGCCACATCTGCCACAAGCCCCACAGAAAGCCAGGCCAGGCACATCGGCGAGGGTCAGACGGCCGGTGGGGCCCGCGGAGGGGCTCCTCCCCAAGCGGGCGAAGGCGAAATGGCTGAAATGGCTCGGTCTGCGGCTTCCGAGTCCGGCCTGAGCCTGCTATGTAAAGTCACCTTCAAGTCCGCACCCCCTTTGTGCCCTGCGGCAGCCTCGGGTCCCTTAGCTACCAAAGCCTCGCTCGGGGGCGGTGGAGGCGGAGGACTCTTCGCTGCTTCAGGTGCCATCTCTTACGCTGAGGTCCTGAAACAGGGACCCCTCCCACCTGGAGCTGCTCGTACCCTGGGAGAGGTCCCTCTTCCGGCACAGGAAACGGAGGGAGGGAATGGAGACGGCGAAGGGTGTTCTGGTCCCCCTGCGGCGCCTGCGTCCCACGCCCGGGCCCTACCCCCGCCCCCCTACACCACATTCCCAGGCTCAAAGCCCAAATTCGACTGGGTTAGCCCTCCCGATGGCCCTGAACGCCACTTTCGCTTCAACGGGGCTGGCGGAGGTGTTGGGGCTCCCAGACGGCGCGCGGCTGCGCTCTCTGGACCGTGGGTTTCCCCTCCGCCACCACCAGGGCAGGCTCACCCAACTCCGGGTCCCCGGAGGCCCGCGCCTGCCCTGCTGGCGCCGCCTATGTTCATCTTCCCGGCGCCCACCAATGGTGAGCCCGTGCGCCCTGGGCCACCGGGTCCACAGCAGTTGTTGCCGCGACCGCCACCGCCCACGCCACCAGCTACGCCGCCACCAGTGCCGCCACCCACACCGCAGCCTCCAGCGCTCCAGCCAACGCCGCTGCCGGTGGCCCGTCCATCCACCCCATGCTCTGGCCATGTGGAGTCTGCCCTGGCTCCCGCCCCAGCCCCTGCGATGCCCCCTGCCTTGGCTGGCGAACAGGCCCAGGCACCGGCCCAGGCCCCATCCCCAGCTCCAGCTCCCATCACCGCCGAACCTGCGCCCCCACCCATCAAGGCTCGCACGCGCAGAAACAAGGGTCCCCGCGCGGCCCGTGGAGTGACCCATGAGGAAGGCGCCCCTGGAGATGGTCCTCGCGAACGGACTGCAGCTACCGTGACTGACAGCGGCGGTGGAGGGGGTGGTGGCAGTGGGGCCCCTACAGCTGGGGCAGCTAGCTCGGGTGCCACGCGCCACTGGCCGCCCTTCCAGGTGCTTCACTCTTGTCCCTGCAAGTGTTACTGCCGCCACCAGCCGCGTCATCGCAGACTGCCCCGCAACGTGTCTGCCTGGTGAGGGGAAGTCTGGAATGTAGGGAGTGGAGGGCATACCTCTTTTAAATCTTGAACCAGATTTTCCAAGATAGACCCTCCCTTACCTACAACTCAAATCTACCTGAGCTCCAATCCTTCAGGACCCTGAGAAGCTTTCCTGACACCCTGACTGGGAAGAGGGGACACCTTGACCCAGCCCCTTGGTTTCAGACCCCCAAGCTGACCTGTGGCACTTCAGCTACCCTGGAGCCATCAGGGAGGGAAGCTGGTTCCAGCTGGCCTGACCTTATTCACTGCCTTGACCCCCATGCCTGACAGCACCAAATGGGGCCATGTTCCAAGCTCTTCAGGGAGGGGAGGAAGATGGCATCAAAGGGGTAAATGTAGATCCCCACTTCTCTGGACAGGGGAAGCCCTGACCTAGCCCCCTGTCTACTCTGGCAACTTCTGACTCTGGGAGCCAAAGTTTTAACCACCAGGGAGCACTGATGCCCCAGCCCTTGTGCTGCAAAGCCTACTCCAGAGTCCCCAGAGCCAGGAGAGCTCCTGTATCCTCCAGCACCCCTCCCCCCAGGCCAGATCTCTCAGCCTTCAGGAGCTTCTACTCAGGGAAAGTGAAGCCCCAGAAGAGGTAAGGGCCTCACAGGCCTTCGTGGATTTTTCCCTTTTCCCAGGCTGAGCACACCCACCAACCACCTGAGCGAGCCACCCTGGGTGGCCACCATCAAGCTCGCTGGCTCCCTGGTAGCTGGGCTGGAGCACTATGACTTGCAGGCCACCCATCCCAACTGAGTGCAGTCAACGCCCTCTGCCTTCCCCTCCATGCCAATAAAATAACCAATCCACGTGCCTAGTTGCCTGTCAGTCACCCACTGTGGGCTGAAAGAGTAGGGTGAGGAAAAGGCAGAAGTCCATCATAGCACCACATAGGGTCCATTTATCCAGCAGCTGCACCGATGGGGGGGGGTCTCATTTCCCATCAGCTTTTTTCATTTCTGAGCTAACCTGATGCCAAGCTCACATTCTAGAACAAATCACTCTGGAAAGGAGCATTCCTAGTTTACAGTGGGGAAGACCAATTCTGGATGACTTTCTTGAAAATTCCACAATCCACAAATGGCTCAGCCAGATTTAGACTAGCACCTTAAAACATCTTCCCAAGAACTTCAGGCAGGAAATGTAGACTGGCGTGCAGGGTGGTCCTAGGTCACAGCACTAGCTCACAAACAGGGACAAGTAAGGCAAGCCTCTGCAGGGGCCACACTTTTTGTTCCAGTGGTAGCCCACAGATTCCATTTTGCATGTCATTTGTAAAATTATTTAATCCGCTGCCAACATGGGACACTTCATACCCTTTGCCGAAAGATTCGGATACCCTGGCCCAACATTCCAATGTGTCCATTTGGAGCCTGTGCTCTTTGTGGGCCACAGGACGTCTGTATTTGAGACCAGGAGCAATAGCCAATAGCCACTGGACAGAGGCTGCCTAGATGGTGTTATCTCAAACCCCCAATTCCAGGTTCTCCAGAGATGATAGTTTCTCTGCCATCCCAACTGGGTATATACAAGGGTCTGGAAGAATGAATGTCAATCCACCTTTATTGGAGGACAGGTTGCACTGTGACAGTTTTAAATAACCAAGGGCCAGTGGGCTCAGACAATCATCTCCAGCTGCCGGGCATACTCGATGACTTGCTTGGCCAGTTCCGTAGAGGGGATGATGGTGTCTTCTGGCTTCTGCTGCTGGCTGGCAAAACTGTAGTAGTTGTTGGGGCCCAGGACCCACCCTCGCTGCAAGAAGGGAAGAATAAAAGATGGGTGATGTGATCCCAAAGGCTGTCTTTCCACCCCATGGAGCCACCACTCACCCATGTGTGCCACGGCTCCCTCTCATGACTCCCCCCCACTACCTACACAACTCTAGGCAAAGAAATTCACTCTCTCTGCTCTGGTTTTTCCATGTTCAAGACAGATACCCTCTGGGTCCACCATAAGGATTCAGTGAATCAAAACCTTTGAAATGATATTTGGCCTAGAATAAGTGATCAACAACTGCCATCATCACCCACACTCATATTTCACCCCTTTTACAGTCTGCTCTTGACTCTCCTCCTGCCTCCTAGGACACCAGGATCACTGTGCACCATGAGTCACCATTTCCAGAGGCAATCTCCTGCTCAAATGTTCCATACTAAAGGAAGCAAAGTCTGACAGAAAAAGTTGCCACTTTTAAGGAATTCTAATAAAGGCAAAAGCCAGCCCAGCATGGTGGGGCACCTTTCAAGTCTCAACTACTTAGAGGCTAGGGCAGGAGGCATGCAAGTTTATGGCCAGACTGGGCAAATTGGTGAGAACCTGTCTCAAAATTAAAAAATAAAAGGACTGGGGATGTAGCTCAGTGGTAGAGGGCCCTGGGTTCAATCCCCAGTGCCAGGGAGGCAGAAAGGGGGCAAAAGATAATATGTGCAGTGTACCACCTCCACCTGAAGCCAGGTGCTAGGCTAAGCTCATCCCACATATTAAAACTCTATTCTATGGATACACAAGCTCAGAGATTTGGCCACTTGCCTAAGGACCACATACAACACACAGCTGGATTCAAATCTGAACAGTCTTGTCCCCCCAGACCGCCCCACTGCTCACTAACACATGCTAAGAGCATGCCCCCCTTGGCTCCACAGCCCCTTGTCCTGCACCCCAGCCACCTTCTTAGCGTAGTCTGTCATCTTTTTGGGTGTGTTGAAGAAGAGGATCCGGGTGGCCTCAGTGAAAAGGATTTTCTCGTAGGCCTTCTCAATGCATCCTGCAATCTCGTCCCTGGGGGAAAATAATGAGGTTCCCGTTACTGAACACAACCCCCCAGGTCCCGTCCTCCTGGGCCTGACAGGTGCCAGCTCTGACCTTTCGGTGCAGCACTGATGTCTGGAATGTTCCTGCCCTATTTTACTAGCAGAGGCTTAGAGAGAGGAGTAACTTGACCAGAATCACAAAACAAGCAAGGGCCACAGGGGATCCACATTTAGATCTCTCCGACTCCCGGAACTGTGGAACCAAACTCCAATCCCACTCCCGGAACTGAGGAACCAAACTCCAATCCCACTCTGAGATGGGAGGATTTGAGACTCTCTGAAATCCAGCCTGGGATTCCCACAAGGGGCTTTCTTCCCATAAACCCTCCTCACAAGAGTGCTGCATCCTACTTCACAGAGCTCAAGGGGTCCCTTGAATCCATGAACAGCAATAACATAGCAAAACAGCTACGCACCAAGTTCTGGAATGGGGTGAGCCCTCGAGAAAGACGGGGATAAGGAAGAACGTGGGCATTTCTGCAATGTCACATCTCTCAGGAAGAGGGTAGGTATGGGCTCTCACAACAAATGAGGTTTGGGAGAGGTATGTCTTTCACAACAAATACCCTGGTTTGTTAGAATGCTTGCCCAGCATGCATTAAGGGCTCTGGGTCCCACCCTCAGAATCTTACAAAAAAAAAAAAAAAAGACAAGTCCCTAAACCAATTAGGCCTTTAGTCCCAGCTAAGGCAAGAGGATCACTTAAGCCCAGGTTAGAGGCCAACCTGGGCAACTTAGTGAGACCCCCATCTCCAAAACCAACAATAACAACAAAACACTATTCCATGTCTTTACACTTGCCTTTGTCACCCCAAAAAATGGAGGGGCTGGTGATATAGCTCAGTTAGTAGAGTACTTGCCTTGCATGCACAAGACCCTGGGTTCAATCCCCAGCACCACACACATACACACACACACACACAAAAAAAAAAGGAAACCCATTCCAATCTGGTACTTCACCCAAGTGAACCAGCTGTGCCACCAACTTTGACACTCTTTTATTTTAACTGTATTTTATTTATTTATTTATATGTGGTGCTGAGGATTGAACCCAGTGCCTTACCCGTGCCAGGCAAGCGCTCTACCACTGAGCCCCAGCCCCTTGACACCCTTTTATACCTCAAAAGGGACTTATATGTCATACCCACCTGCCCCTGTATAGACAGCAACCCCAGGGGCTGACAGGACTTGGTGGCCCCATTCTAGACAAGGGAAACTGACTGTTGCAGAGTTTAGGTGCCCGGAGGTGAGGTTATATGACTCACTGGATGCATCTTTGGCCCAGAGATGGACTGGAACACTTCTCAGAGAGGCAGCATGGCCCCCATCTGCTGAGCTGTCTGGGTGCCACACCCGGGCTCAAGTTCGACCCATGGCCAACCATGTAAACAGCCCGAGGGACAAGCGGAGAGCTGTTGTCCACAATAGCATGACCAGTTCCATTTCACAGAAAAGAACTAAAATGCTAGGATAGAAACATGCCCAGCCTACCCAGATCACGAGTGGCCAGAAAGGATTTCAAATTCAGGGCTGTCTATGCCAGAGGCTGAGCTCTTTCTGAACCCCACACAGTTCTGGTTCCCCCCACACCTGATAGTGTCCAGCAGAATGTCGATGAAGAAGGTGTAGCTCTCAGCAGGGATGTTGCCTTTGGCCAGGAACACCTTGTTGTAGCTGCCCTCCATCAGGTACTGCAGAGGCCGAGGATGGAGAAAAGAGGATGAAGAAGAGCAGCACAGGGACACCCTGGCACTCCCCACCCTGGCCTCTCTCTCTCCCCCCAGCTTGTCCTGAGACTGCATCTCCTTATCTCAGCTCCAATTATAAAAAGGAGACCAAGGGCTGGGGCTGGGGCTCAGTGGTAGAGCACTTGCCTAGCATGGGCAAGGCTCTGGGTTCGATCCTCAGCACCACGGTAAAAAAAATAAACAAAGGCATTCTATGCATTTACAGCTACCAAAGAGAGAGAGAGAGAGAGAGAGAGAGAGAGAGAGAGAGAGAGACACACCAAACTGGATCTACTGGGGTTTATCTACCCACAACTTTGCCCAAACTATGCTGCCTGCCCTCCTGCCCTCCCCTCCCCCAGCCAAATCCTGTGCAACCTCAGCTTCAGGAACTATTTCTTAACCCCAGCTCCCCAGCTCCTAAAGTTCTTCCCTGGTCCAGCTCATTTGTTTCTCAAACATAGCAGGCAGTTTCTGCCTCAGTTTAGACTGGCTGGTTGCTCTGCCTGGATTGTCACATGGTTTCATTCTCATCCTTTGCAAGTCTTGCATAAATCCCAACTCTTCAGAGTCCTTTCTGACCACCCCATATTAAATTTTTGTCCCCTGCCCATTACACCCCACCCTCCTTCCTTATTTTTCTCCACAGAACTTACCTGACAGACCACAGGTTACTTCCACTTTTGCTTACTATCTGCTTCCTCACCTCACTGTCATCACCCCAAGATCAAGAAATTTATGATTCAATGCAGTCTAAAAGCTAACAAGCACCCAGTGCACAGCTGGAGCTCAATATTTGTTGCATAAATGAGCAAATATTAATGAACCCTGACCACTCCCCTAGTACTTGTCCTGGTACTACCCACCTTAGCCAAGCCCTTCCTTCCCTGCCCAGCCTCACCTGCTCAAGGGACACAGGGTGCTTGATGTAGACATTGGTCTGGATATCCTTGGCAGGTAGGCGCTCCAACTCTGTATGAAACTCAGCTACCCGGTTCTGGGACAGCAGGAAGAGGAGGTTGAGGCCCAAAAGCTGGTGCATGTAGGCTGACTCGGGGAGCTGCTCCCTGTGGACCAGGAAGGGGAATCCAAAAAAAAAAAAAAGGGAAGGCTTAGGGACCTACCAAGCACCAGGGACCCTCCTTTATCTCCTAAAAGGATTATAGGGCCCTGGGTTTTCAGATGAAGAAACTGAGGCCCAAAGAAGCAAGAAGTC